ACCTGCTGCTCATTTTCCAGCCTCCTGTCACCGTACCGTCTCTCTCCTGCCCTGTCCATCAGGTTCCTCCTTACTCAGCATCTTCTGTGGCTCCCATTGACCCCAGGAAAGTGCTCATTCATTTCAGTGCTCCTGGCCCAGGGCCTCCTCCCAGCTGCGTGCCTCCCTGCCCCCTACCCTCTCATGCCCCCTGTAAGCCTGTGCCCACCTCTCCTCCCCCCGGACTCATTCCCATTCTGGCCTCGACAGAAAGGGGAGAGCAGCTAAGGAAGGCACCCCAGGAACAGTCTTGCTTGCCCTCCTGCTCTGCCTAGGTGGGGCTCCTAGTCCTCACAGTGGAGTTTCTTCTCTGCTGCTTCCCCAGGAAGCTCAGCCCCTGGCTTCTTAGGAAGTGGCCCTCACAGAAGCCTGAGGCCTCCAAACTGTGTACATTGGTGACACTGTGTCCTGGGGGCCCAGTGCCTGGCTGACCCCCTCTGCAGTAGTTGTTGGCAGGGAGCTCAGGCAATGGGGGAGAATGCAGGCAGTGGTAGTGGGGTGTGTACAGAGCAGCCGTGCCCTCCTGGCGCTGCCTTCAGGGCCCCTGGGAGCAGTTGCTAGGCTGGCACACAGCAGCAGTGGGAGCCAGAGCCTGGGATCTGCACACGCACAGCCTGTCAGCTGTGCACACAGCCCATAGGGCAGGAGGTGGCTGTAGGCCGGGGGCATCTCCTTGCCCGGGCTATGCTGCCAGGCCAGTCAGGACACAGGGAAGGGAGGATAGGGGACTGGCACAGATGCACAGCACAGGACCTGGGGCCACAGGAGGGGAAGCCCTTCCGTGACTCTCCAGGTGAGGGTGAACAAATGGCCACGGGGTTCCCACTTGGGGTTCCCACCAAGGTGCTGACAAGAGCCTTCCTGACTTCCCACAGTCCTAAGTGTGCCCCTTTGCTCCTATGGGAGACCCTGCAGGACAGAGAACTCTTTATAGCCTCACAGCTGGGAGTCTTCTCTCTTCTTCAGAGCCTCTCCAGGCTTTCATTCTGGTCTGGCCCTCAGAGATGGAGCCTGGGCCCCACCTAGCTCCCGAGATCCCCTCCTTGGGGGTGTGGCTCCATTAGGTTCAGGCCAATCCTGTGGGCTTCTCCAAGGCTGCTCTCAGGATGGGTATGGCCTGAGGAGGAGGATTTGAGCGCTGGGCCTGGGGGTCCAAATCTCCCACTGGCCCTCCTACCCTGCCTTGCTGCAGCCCTGAGAGCATGGTTCTATGCTGGGTGTGGATAGTGAGGGCCCAGAGGAGGGGGTGGCAGAGGGAGGGGCACCACTCTGGGCAGACTCCTCAGCTGGCAGAGGCTCCTGCCAAGCCATTTCCCGGCCCCGCCCCTGCCCCTCCACTCATTATCAACTTGGGGTTTGTGTGCAAACAGCAGCTGGCCTCTTTGTCAGCCTCCCCTCTCCCCCTCCCCTCTCCCCCTCCCGTTACTCCTTTTCCCCTCCCCAAGTCCTCTCAACAAGCTCCTCCATCTCAGGCCCTGCCCCTCCCCCTTCCAGGTGATTTAAAAGCTGAGGCCCTAAGGACTCCCCCAAGGGAATGCCACCCGTGCCCATTATGGGCCCTGTGTCCTCAGTTCTCTTCAGCCAGCAGTATTAAACCCATCTGGGACACCAGGAAAGGCAGAGAGGGAGGGTAACTAAGCCAGTGTCACAAAGTAGGCAAGTACAGAGCCAGTACTCAGATCTCTTGTACCCAGTTATAGAGCCTGTTTACAGAGCCAGTCTGCTCTCCGACCTCAGTGGTTCCTCTGATGCTCCCAGTGCCTGGCACTGCTTTTGTCAGGGGCCCTGGAAAGGTGGATCCACTCTCCACCTCCTAGCCAGTGTCAAGGGCTTCAAGTGAGGTAACTGTGTGGCTGTGGTTGTGACAGGAAGGTGGGCAAGGCCAGATGGCAGGGCCTGTCAGTTGTACCCTAGAGCTGGGACTGGATGCTGAAGGCAATGGGCTCTGCAGACTGTGATGGCTGAAGACAAGGAGGCTGATTCGGATACCAACCAAGGAGTAAAAGAGTGAGGGCCAAGCCGGTGGCCCTGGGAGAGCAGGTGGACCAGGTCTGGAAGCACAGGTTTAGTCAAGGTATATGGTGAGATGAGGGGGCTAGGAACACTCAGTATTCTCTGCATGTTTTAGGTCTTAGCGGGCTAGAAACACTCAGTGTTCTCTGCATGTATTAGGTCTTTTCATCCTTAGAACATGCTTGATCTAAGATAAAAAATTGACACCAATGAGAGGGGTGGCTTATGGCTGTAATCCTAACACAGTAGGAGGCCAAGGAAAGAGAATTGTTTCAGGTCAGGAGTTCTAGAACAGCCTGAGCAAGAGAGAGATCCCATCTCTACTAAAAAATTAAAAATTAGCCAGTTGTGTTGGGTACTCCTGTACTCCCGACTACTTAGGAGGCTGAGGAGGGAGGATTGCTTGCGTCCAGGAGTTCGGGGTTGCTGTGAGATATGATCATGCCATTTTTCTCTTAACTGGGTAACAAAGGGAAACTCAGTCTCAGAAAAAAAGAAATTGACACTGGTACTATAATTGTTCCCATTTCACACATGAGAAAATTGCAGCTCTCATTACAGTGAACGACAAGGCCTCCATTCAGTGTCAGACTGGACACTGAGATTTTGGACCAGGATTAGGCCCAAAGGTGCTGTGTGACCCCTCTGGGAACAAGGCTGTGGCTGCCCCTTGAGTAGACAGGCCTGTAGACACTGTGTCCATGCCCCACCAGGCCTGGTGCAGATCACTGAGTATCTGAGTCTGCAGGGGCTCTCTGCTGGAGAAGCCCCACCAACAGGGACCAGAGCAGACCACTGGAGGGTGGGAAGGGAGTCACAGAGACTGTACCCAGATATGTGTCAGGAAGGAAGGCTGGGAGTTCCTTAGGTGGTGAGTGAAAGGCAGAGGGGCAGAAGCCGCAGCCCCAGCAAAGACTCAAGAGGCTTAGAGTGAGGGGAACCCGGCCAGGGAGGAAAAGGTGAGAGCTGGGCTGCACCACACTCCCCAAGTCTAGGGCTCATGATAGCCCACTGTCAAAGTCTGGCCTCTCCAAAATACTTTTCTGGGGCCATGATCAAGCTCGCCGCCGGAGCCCTGGGGAGGCCACGGGCACAGGACTGTACAAGGCCACTAGTAGGCCTGTGCCTGTCCACAGTCCCCCTAGGGCGGGCAAGGCAGATCCAGCTCTCGGGCCAGCACAAAGCCAGGCCCACGGGGCCGGAAGTCGCAGGGCCACAGCGGGTCGCCGCAGAACCGGGGACAGCCTGATCCAGCGGGAACAAAGGACCCGGGGTGGTAGGGCGGCCAGTCCCGGCCATAATTGGCGGCCGGGGGCGGAGGAGCGTCGGGGGCGGAGGATTGGCCGCGGCCTCACCAGGCCCGCGCGCCGGACACGCCCCCTCGTGGCAGCAACCAGAGCTCCCGGGGTGCGGCCTGGCCCCGCCAGCGCCTGGCCATGTGTGCCGGGCGGGCGCAGACCCGGAGTTGGGTTTCTGCTCAGCTCCCCGCCGCTGAGCCGGGCAAACTGTGCAGTGATCCCTTCGCCGCCAGCCCGCTGTCCCCGGCCCAGTGCGTGCGGGTGATCTTGGGGCCTGGGCACTGGGACCTGAACCACCGCCTCGAGGGAGGCGCGACGCGCGCTCTAGGGCCAGGTTGGGCGAGGGCCTGGGGCCCAGGGCTTGGCTTGGGGCTAGTGGCAATGTTGGGAGAGCGGGCAGGGAACAGGGAACACTCAGAGAGGATCGGCAGCAAGTGGAGGAGGCTGCAAGCTGCAAGATGGCTCAGGGGAGTGGTGACTGGATGGCCGGTGGCTGCAGATAGGGGCTGGACAGGGTGTGGAATTAGCACCAGAGGGAGTTAACCGAATTCACACTGGCCAGGGAGCTGATCCGCGGTGGAAGACACGAAGAGGGGCCTTCTCAACTCCATCCGGCTCTCCCAGCTGTCTGGGAGGTGAGAGGAGGGGTGGGGCTCAGGGCTGGGCCACCAATCAGGGCTTCATTCCCACTTTGAATTTGGGCTGGCGGGCACGGGCTGTGTGTAGGCCAGGTGTGCTGGCGCCCTCTTTGTCCCTGCCCAGGCACATCCCACTCTCTTCCCACTCTGCAGGAGGCTCTGTGGCCCACACAGCTGGCTCTCCTCTCCTTTGGTGTCCCCAGGGAGGGAAGAGATTGAAGCTGGAGCCAGGTCTGCCCTTTGAATTTCTGGTGACTCTGAACCATGTCCCTGAGCTGCCTCATCCTCAGCCCATTTGGCTTCTGCATGGTGAGATTGAGATAATAGGGGCCTGGCTTGGCGCCTGTGGCTCAAGCGGCTAAGGCGCCAGCCACATACACCTAAGGTGGCGGGTTCGAATCCCCAGCCCGGGCCCGCCAAACAACAATGATGGCTGCAACCAAAAAATGGCCAGGCGTTGTGGCGGGCGCCTGTAGTCCCAGCTGCTTGGGAGGCTGAGGCAGGAGACTCGCTTGAGCCCAGGAGTTGGAGGTTGCTGTGAGCGGGATGCCATGGCACTCTACCCAGGGGGATAGCTTGAGGCTCTGTCTCAAAAAAAAAAAAAAAAAAAAAGAGAAAAAATAATAGGGCCTATCTCCAAGGTTGCTGTGAGGATTAAATGGGATCCTATGGAGGTGAAAACTTTGTGAGAGTAAAGCCTGGATGTGTGTGTGTGGGGGGACAAATGCTGGGGGACTGGCAGCTACAGAGAATCGGTGATCCTACTTGACAGGCCAGGGGGAGTGTGTCAGGCCTGATGACAGAGACCATTAGTGTGCCCGTCCCATGGAGCCCTGGGCCCAGGCACCCTTAATAGAAAGATGGGGTAGAGAGATCTGGGAACTGTCTTCCCTTTCTTCAGGCCTAGGAGTGTGGAGCCCCTCTCCCAGGTCAAGGCCAGAGTACAGCTCTGGGCCCACATGCTTCTCCACTTAGGTGTCCCATGTGCCCCTCCCTCTCGCACTCTCCTCCCATCTACTGCCTTCTGCCTCTTCCCTTCCCAAAAGCCCTGACATAAAACTGGTCACCAAATCCTCCAGCTGACCCCCTTAATGTCTCAAATCTGTCTTCTCCTTTCTATCCCTCTACTGCCACCCTGGTCACAGATGTACCATGGTGACAGCATCCAGCTGACAAGTACCCTGCCACCAGGCTAGACCACCGTGATGAGAGAGACCAGTATTGTGCCTGTCCTGCCTTGGGCCAGGTTGACATACAAAC